GGGCCATGGGAGGTTTATGATGACTGAGAGGGCTATTGATATTCTCAATAGTGACCCTGGCTAGAGTGTCAAGGGATTACTACTGTGTGTGTGTATGTGTGTGTGTGTGTGTGTGTGTGTGTAGAGGGGTGTGACTATGAGGTCAGTGGTGTGTGTGTATCTGGGTGCAGGTATGTGCATGTTGGCAAGGCTTGAGCAGGGCTAATTGTGGGCATATGAGTACTGGTAGTGTACATGTGCAAAGGTACAGGAGTTAAGGCTGGAAGTGCACATGTGAAGGTGTAGGGACCAGCTTCAGGCAACCACTGGTGGTGGGTACCAGCAACAGGGATTAGGCCAGTTGCTATGTGCACAACTGCAGACTCCAACTGGCAGTGTGGATGCATAAGATTTCATGTATCACATTTGTTTCATGCAACAAACGTGGTGTTAATGGCACATGATGGAGTGATGGGTCTTGTGTGCATGTGTGTAGCTGCTAGGACCAGCTGCAGGCACAACAGCCAATGGGTGTCCATGATAGGGAATGGTGGCTCCATGAAGATGTATATCTGCAGCAAGCAGAGCTAACAGTGGGCATATGCATTACTGCAGTGGCCAGCTGTGTATGTATGCATGGTGGTGGGGGCAGGTGATGAGAGGGCAGGTTGCTTACATGTGTACAGCCACAGGGACCAGGACAAGTGGCAAGCAAGCACATGGCTGCATAGGCCACCTGCAGGCACATGCTTAGCTGTGAGACACAGCAATAAGAGCTGAGGCTAGCTGCTTGCAGGCACATGGCTAAGGGATCAGACATAGGTGCAGCAAATATGGTGGTGAGGTCTGTGTCTGCCGTGGGGACACAGGCCATTTTTGGACACACCCAGTAGCTATGCTGTTGTCTGGGTTGGGTTCTCATGGTAGCGGCAGCAGCAGCAGCAGAGATAACTCTGAGAGAGGAAGAAAAGAGATGGTGGCTTATGCAACTGGAAATTGCAAAAGTGAAAAACTCTGGGTCCTTGGTGGCGGAAGCAGAGAGTATCTGCTGCAGTTCTGCTGGTTGCTGTTTGCCTTCGTGGCAAAAACTACCTCTGCAGAGCAGACTGCTGAGGTCCACAGTGGCAAACACCATGAGGTCCTTGGCAAGGAAAGCTATAGGGGGTGAGAGGTGGCTACAGAACTTTTGAGGTGATAACAGGGAAGGCTACTGGGCTCCTACATAAAGCAGGCCACTAGGGCCATGATGGCTCCTGCCACCTTGCTGATTGCAATAGCTCTTGCCCAAATAATTTGCTTCTAGCTATCTCCAGACAGCAAAGCCATGCTGCTCTACCCATTGATTAGTGTGGCACTAAAGTGGGTCATTTGGGGAGGGTCCTGAAAGGTTGGGGAAGCTGGTTGTTCACCTATCCCCCTTTGCTCTGTGAGAGGAATTCATGATCTGGGAAGTTCCCTCTCCATGCTTCAGCTTAATGGACTGGGGGATGGGATGATACAGGTAAAATAAAACTGTTGTGCCTATCCATTTTGGGGAGTGTAGTTATTCTCAATTTTTTCCTAGTGTGTTGCTTTACTTCTTCATTGGACTCCTGAGAACTATTGTTATTTACGGATAGTTGTCCCACTCATTCTTTGTGGAGGGAATGAAGCTGGGGTATCCTAGTCTGCCATCTTGCTGACCTCATTCCACACTTTGTGTTTATGAACTTAAACACCACTACCATCACACAGTACTGTGCATTATCATTGAGGGTCAGTAATTTTGTGAGAAGGCCTGGGGACAAACACTCAGGGGACTTGGGTTCCAGCCCCAACCCTGCTACCAGTGTGAAGAGGTATTAGCTAGAGTTCTTCACACTCTAGGACTCAGGTTTTCCATTTGTCCAATGGAAATAGGGATCCAGGCTCTGCCTATCTCAGAGAGACTGGCCAAGTGCCAACCAATAGGGACCTGTATGCCATCTGAAATGAATCCAGAATCTTTCAAGACTGTGACAATATCTCAACTCAGTTACATGTTTGTAATCTCGGTCCAGAAATCCATGGGGAGTGAATAAATCTCACATCCCAATCATGCAGGGAGATATATAATAATCATGGCGCCATGATTGAGCACTCAATTTATAGCAAGGACCCTGCAAACATTATCCCCATCGACTGCCTCTATTTGAAGCCTCACAACCCCCACAAAGAGGCAGGGATTGTCTCTGCTGAGTTTTCTCAGGGGAGGAATTCAAAGGGAGGGAGGCTGAGGGCCTCTAGTTGGAAGGGGCTGAGTCTCCAGTTATGGACAGGTCAGGCTGACTCCACATAGGATCTTCTGTCTTTCTTGGCGCCCTGCCTCCCTTGTTTTCCACTAAAGCTAAGAGCCTGGCAGGTTGAAGGGATCAGGATTCATCCACCTGAAGCCAGGGGGTAACGGGTGTGGAAAGTCTAGGACTCAATGAGAAGACCCGAAATTCAACAGCACTTTCCCTGATATGCATGGAAGCAAAGAACTTCTTGGAGGAGCCGAGAAAGGTCATCCCAGGAAGAGACGGAGAAGGGCCAACTGGGAAGCTCATTAGAAGGCATGCTGCTTCTGTGTCTGCCCCGAGGTCCTACCTTCATTACTTGGAAAGCTGCTTTTGTAAACCTCAATGTCGGGGGCCCATGCTCCCCAGGAGTGCCCACCCTCTCCCCTTTATCTTATGCGGTAAACCAAAGTTGGAGGCAGAGGCCTGGCAAAGGCCCATTACTCACTTTTAATGAGACAGCCAGGGAAATAAATTGGCATATGTTAGCAAAATGGCTCATCAAGGTGAGTAATTATCTTCAGGACTGGGGCAGTTTACCCTCAGATGAAAGAATTTGCATCTCATCTCTCATTGGGCTCTGGCTCTCCAGAACAGGGGCAGGAGGCCAAGTGGAGCTTGACCACTGATCACAGATACCTGCTCTTGTCTGATCTTGCTCTTCACCATCGATCTCTCACTCCCCAGATTCCCAAGCTTTCACAGGGAGAGACAGCACAAGTGATCCCAGGGGACAGAAGCCCAGAGGAGAAAAACACGAAGTGGTTGTTTTATATTTTGGTGTGCATGTGTGTGTGTGTGTGTGGTGGGGACAGGCCACAGGGAGCAGTTCTAACAAGCTCTACTAATTAAACCTTTCTTCTTAGTCCTTCACCAACTATTTCCTCCTTTAATTCCTTATGCACTGATCTTGTGCCCTGGACCATTAGCATCTGGTGATGTCCAGATGTGCAGCTGTCACTCCTGTGACTTTTAGCCTTTTGTAAGGAAGCTATCTCAATACTATTTTTTTTCTGTCTTCTGAATATTATTTTGTCTTCCAAGACAAATCATCGTCGACTGAAATAATCTAATGAAGCCTCACAACCCCACAAAGAGGCATGGATTGTCTCTGCTGAGATTTCTCAGGGGAGGAAGGTTAGAAATGAGGGCATCTTCTTGGCTTCCGTTAGGTTTAGATATTAGGTGTCCCCCATGAGTGAGACAATGCAAGATTTGATGATGTCACCTCCTGAGCTGCCTACCTCCTCACACTCTTCTATCATGGTGTTCTGCCTCACCTTTGGCCAAGACCAATGGCGTCAACCCACTATGAACCGAGACCTCTGAAACCGTGGGTGCCAAATAAACTTTTCCTCCTCTAAAATTATTCTTACCAGGCTTTGGTCACAGCAACCCAAAGCGTAATACAGCTGGCATCTCCTGTGGAATCTGCTCTGGTTCTCAGGTGGCAGGTTCTGCCTGACAGTGAGTTTCTTCCAGGCCTTGATGTTGAGACTTGTAAGCAGGTGACTGATGGCATTCCTCTCTAGACATTGGTAACCAAGAGAAGCATGGCTAAGTTTTTTACCCAACTCTGGTTCATGGCAGGGTTTGTGCATGAATTTCAGCCTTGATGCCCCCAATTTTCAGGTTTTTTTTTTTTTTCACTAGATGGTAAGCTCCCTGTGGTCAGGCCTAATAGTCCAGGGCACAAGATCAGTGCATAAGGAAATAAAGGAAGAAATACTTGGTGCAAGACTAAGAAGAAAGGTTTAATTAGTGGAGCTTGTTAGAACTACTCCCTGTGGCCTGTCCCCCCTACACACACACGCACACCAAAATATAAAACAACTGCTTCATGTTTTTCTCCTCTGTTTCGAGTTCCTCTCTGTCTTTATTCCAAGTGTCCAGCACCATTCCTAGAAGTCAGTAAGCAAATAGAGTGTGTGAAGGTCAGATCTTGCAACTTCTGCATCTTTGTGTGGTACATAAGTGTTATTTGAAACAGAGATAATATGCAGACACTCACACATTCACGCCAATAATTAAATAATACACTTGTCAAATATTCCTGTTTGATTATAATCAAAGTATTGAAAATCATAGCCAAAGTGGGCTGAGTTGATTAGGCGTCTGGCTGTGTTGTTTGCATTACCATGAGTTTCGTATTAATGATTATGGAGAAATATCCAAATGTCTTTATGGGAATGTTTTCAGTTCAGTTCAGTCTGGGATTGAAGTTCCCATTGGGGTTGAATTTCTCAAAACAGATACTGGCAAGAGCTTTAAGGAATCTGGAATGGATCTCTGGCTTGGGAGGTGGTTCAAATCCCCAGTTTCTCTTTTACAAGGAGCAGGTTGTGGTGGGGGAATCAGGTCACAACTTGTCAAATAGGAACCTCATGGCCACCTGGTGGCACATCTGACATCTGAGTGATGATTGGAAAATTCTACCAGGAAACTGACCCTCTTCAGTGTCCATATGTGACACTGAGTTCTACAGACTATTCAGTGAGCAGGTTTCTGAGGTTTCTAAGGGTTTATTCTCCCCTTGGAAGGACTGCAGTTTGTATAAGGCTCATTTCTTTGAGTTCAGGCCTGAGTTCTGGGTCACAAAACCTACATGGAGGATCTCAGGGGAAGCATCAGTGTCAGGTATATATTCAGGGTCCCGCTGACATGCAGAGTGGGGATGGTGGATTTGTTTTCCTGACGCTACAGGGGTCGTCCCAGGACACTCACCATTTCTGTCAATGGCAAAAGGCACATCTGTCGTGACAATTTCGTAGTTGCAGATCTGGCTGTACTGGGGGGAGCAGTCCTCGTCGATGGCCTCCACCTGCAGGATGCTGTCATAGATCTTGCCCTCCGTCACGATGGCCTTGTAGGCTGGCTCTTTGAAGGTGGGAGCAAACTCATTGACGTCCTTCACCTGGATATGGACCACGGCCCTGGACGGCACATTGGGAAAAAGGGCTGGTGGTCAGAGAGAATCACACCGTCCTCCCGTCCCTCCCTGGGGCACTGACTCAGCAGAAGCCAAAGTGGACAGAGCAACAGAAGCAAGGCGGCCATTCACGGCTGAGTCTTCTGTCCTCCCCCAGGGGACCCTCTATCTGTCCTCACCTTGATGAAAACACCCCAGACTCCTCGCTGTTCTTTGTCCTTCTCTGTTACCCAATTGCAGCCAAAGGGCTTCCTCTTCCTCTTCTCCCCTTTCTCTGCCTCTTTCATCCATTCCTTCACTCCCCCGGGCAGTACCGACTGGACCTCTCTTACTCGGAGCCAAAATCCATAAGGGAGAGAACAGAGGAGCCCCCAGGATGGGAGAGGACTGTGCACTGCAGAAACCCAGAGAAAAGCCCTGACCAGTTCTGCAGGCAGGAGCTGCCTTGGGGACCACTTTCTGGAAGAAGTGACTCTGAGCTCCATCCTGAAGGTGGCCTAGGCGTAACTTCCAATGGAGGAGAGCAGGTAGAGTGGCCCTGGACCAGGAAGCAGCTTGTGCAAATGCCTGCAGGGGCTGGGGAACTGCAGAGCAGATGAGCAGGGCAGGGCCCCGGTGCTACCTGTGTATAAGCAGATCTAAGGAGCAGGCCCTGAACCCAGTGAATGGAGGCCAGAGGGACAGGGCGGGACGTGGTGCCACTCACTTGTGTGACTTCTTCCAGGCCGTCTCCCGGGGCCCGGCACCGCAGTCGTAGGCCTGGATGATGAACGTGTACTCCTTCTGCAGCTCACAGTCAATGGGGCTCTTGGCTCGGAGGCGGCCCTCCCCAGATGTCTTGTTGAGCACCACGGCCTCAAAGGGCAGCTCCTGGCCATGGATCTTGAATGCACAGATTTCCCCTGTGGGAGGAGACCAGAAGGTGAGTAGGCATTCTGGGAACGGCCAGACTGCAGACAGAGCCTCTGCTGGACCAGATCCACTAACCCAAAACATGGATGCCATTGACTCCCACATAGGATTCTCCAACCAGGATGACTGGTCTCCAGGGATCCAGAGCCACATGTTTATTTCAGGGAGAGTAAAATGAAAATGTTTCATGCAAGGAAACATCATCTAACAGGTGAACTCTTATATGATGATGATGATGATAATAATAATAATAATAATAATAATAATAATAATAATAATAAATGGTCATTGTGCTGGGAAGTTGGCTGATTTCCCCAGAAGGTTTCCCACTTGCCTTTAGTCCTGTCTGGCATTAAGGAACTCACCCACAGTCAAAAGACACACTGACTGTAGAGGAAAGGAATAAAACACCACCATTTCTCTCAATCTTTGGCCCCATGACAACGCCCTCCGTGCTTGAAAGTGTGGTGCATGAACCAGAAGCAGCAGCACTGTGTGGAGCTTATTAGAAATACAGAATTCAGGCACGCCTGTGAGCAGTGACTCAGGAGGCTGAGGGAGGAGGGTGGCAAGTTGCAGGCCAGCCTCAGCAACTTAGCAAGGTCCTAAGCAACTTAGTGAGAACTTGTCTCAAAATAAAAAATAAAAAGGGCTGGGGATGTGACTCAAGAGGTAAATCACCCTGGGTTCAATCCCAGGTACCAAAAAAAAAAAAAAAAAAGAATTACAGAATTACAGAATCCCGAGTCCCACCCAGACCTGAACCAGAATCTGTGTTTTATCTGGATCCATTGATCCATTTGCTCACTGAACTCTGAGCAGTGTTGTTCTTCTCTTCTTTTTATTCCCGGTTTAAACACCCCACATTGCTGCAGTCAGATTCTCGCCTCCCCACCTCTCCATTATGTGTTTCCACCCACCCTTCCCAGTGGAGACTCGGAGCCACTTGGAATGGCTATTTCCTCTTTTCAAACAGTGGGGTGCGTCTATGTGAGTTCAAGATTCCCCATGGAGCCCAAAGAGCTAATTTCTTAAAGAGCAAAACACGTTGTGAAATTAATGCATCTCACCCCTTCAGCTGTGTTAATGTTTCTCATAACTGTTTCTCTACATTAAAACTCGAAGGACATGAGGATATCTCTTTTTTCTCCATTGGTGGTTATTTATGCCTTGAACCCCAACGAGCAAGCAAGTCCTGTAGCTAATGCCTTGCAATATGCTGAATATTCAAGACACATTCTCCTCCAGTGCTGAGAGCATTCGTGGGCTTTTTAGAGAAATGATGTGCACACATGTATAAACAGAGACCATTCTTAGAGCAAAGGGGCATGTGAGCATTATGTGGGCAGGACAGAGGCTACTGGGGAGTAAAACAGGCCCAGAGTTGAGAGAACTGGATTCAAATTCCAGGTTCACCACTTGCTAACTGGTAGGCATAAGTCAGATCACATTGCTTCTCTGGGTCTCATCTGGCTCACCTGTAAGATGGTCCAGGAGATGGTGTTGGGGAAGAGGGATCTGCTCTTGAGATGCTATGTCCTTGGTCTGACATTGACCCAGTTACACTTCCTGGACCAGAGAGAGACAGAAAGTACCCAGGATACACCAGGAGGCCTTCCCTGGTGTGACCCAGGCACCTGCTTATCTCTCCCTAGTCCAGGCTGGCACAGCTGTTTATAAACACTGACGCAGAGGCAAGGGGGTAACGTGATTGCTTGCCTGCTTCAACCAATGAGATTTGTACATCTATCTACATTATCTCATTTGACTTTCATAACAAACCTGCCAGGCAGGTGTTTTACACAAACTTATGCAAATTAGAAGGAGGAGGAAGAGGCTCAGGAAGGTTAGTTACTTGGCCAAGGTCACAGGGCTAAGGTGTGGCTGTGCTTTGGATATGTGCACCACATAGAATATCCAAACAGCCCCATAACCTCTAAGTGGACTCCTGGGGGATGTTTCTAGGAACATTCTGCATTCCTATTTAAGCCTTGCTCAGGAAAGAAATCCCCTGTTTTTATATACAGGAGGGGTGCCCTGATCTCTTACTAACAATGTTTTCTAAGATTTCTAAGATGTTCAATCAATATCAATCTTACCTTTAGGCTTTATTTTTTTATTATTATTATTATTTCTTCAACCTTCCATTTCATTACTAATACCTATTTTTACTACCTCCCCTCCTGGCTATTTCTTAAATACAGTTGTAGAATCATGGACAAGAGAGACAGGTCATGGACCAGGTCCTTGCAAAAGCACTGGTTCCATTCGCTGCCACGGCTCAGGCTCAGGAGCACTGGGTATTTTGAAGAGTCTAGTTCTGCCATCTTCAGGGCGGGATAATAGGTTTCATCTGCTCTCAAGTTTAATTTCTGCTCTGAGTTTGCTGGAGTTGAACGGATGAACCTCTAAAATGCCTGCCTTGTGATTCTATCCCAAGATCAATGCCAATGTGAAAATGTTACCCGTGTACCCAGACTTGTTCTAGGGCATTCTCTGGAGTGTCCAACCAGCACCACCATGATTATAAGGCTAATCAGACCATTTCTCTTTCAAGAGCCAAGTTAAACCAAAAATAGATGAGAGTAATTTTTCTGTTGAAAACATCTGATCACAACCAAAGTAGTTCTCAAGACTCAGCAATCCTTAACAAGAGAAAGGGGAACAGGGCGGGAGAGGAGAAAGAGGAGATGGCAGAGGAGATACAACACAAGGGCACATAAACTTCAGGGTCACATATTTCCATCGAGCTTAGCCTCAGTACACGCCGATAGAACTTTTTTTCCTCCTGAGAGGTAACTAAGTCCCAGGCCCTGGAGACTTGAAGACAAATGACACAGGTACCTTAAAATATTCCCAAGCATTCCTTACCTACAGACAGGCAGGCAAGGCCATGCAATAGTGGCTTAGCTGTCCCCAGCTCAGACTGAAATAAGATTTCATCCCTTTTGAACAAAAAAATCTAGAATTCAAGTTACCCTGGTTTATTTAGCCTCTTCTTCTGACTCTGTGCGCCTTTTGCAAAAGCCTTCAGTTGTTAAATCATTCGTTTGCTTAATGTTAAGGTTTGGATCCTGAATGTCCCCCAAAGGTCATGTGTCGAAGGCTTGGTCCCCAATGCAGTAACATCCAGAGGTGGGCTTTGGGGAAGTGCTCGATCCCCAGGGCTCTGACCTCATCAGTGGATGAACCCACTGAGAGCCAAAATGGACTCATGGGAGGTGGTAGAAACCACAGGTGATAGCATGGCGGGAGGCAGAAGGTCACTATAGGTGTGCCATGACAGGGTAGTACCTCTGGTCCTTTCCCTCCCAGCCTTCTCCCTCTCTCTCTTGTCTCTCTCCCTCTCTGGTTCCTGGCTGCCATAAGCTGACAGCTTTCTTACTCCACACCCTTCCGCCATGATGTTTTGCCTCTGCTCAAGCCCAAAGCCATGGAGCCGGTAGACCATGGACTGGATCCTCTGAAACCTTGAGCCAAGATAAACCTTTCCTCCTCTTAAGTTGTTTTCCTCAGGTATTTGTCACAGTGACAAAAACCTACTAACACACTTAATCAATATTTATTAGGAACTATGTGCCAGGCACCCGTGAAGCAGTGATGAACAGAACCAGAGCCAGCCCTGGCCCACAAGCTTCTGGCAAGCCAAGTGGGGGAGGGAAACAGGCTCTGAAATAGCCACCTACCTAAGGCGACAGTGATGGTCGGGACCCGTGTGGTGAGAGAGAGTGGTGTTGGCTGTTAGGAGCCCTGGCCTGGTCAGGAGGGACACCCCAGTTGCTGAAGGATGTGAGGGCCAGGCTGAGACCACTGGAAGAGGAAGTGGGAGGGGCTCTGGCCCCAGGGAGCTGGGCTTAGGAACCTCCTGCAGGAAGGCATTTTGCTGCAGTCCCAGAGACTGCAGGGTCCAGTGTGGCAGGAGTGGAAGCCCCTGGGGCAGGGCCAGCTTCATGGGCATGTGACCCGAGAGCTGCACAACTCAGAAGGGCTCAGAAGGGTTCTGAGTTGCTTTCAATCTCTGTTGCTGGTTTTGAAATTCTTCATAATTTTATATTTTATTTATTTATTTTTTGGTACCAGGGATTGAACCCAGAGGTGCTTAACCACTGAGTCACATCCCCAGCCCTTTTTTAAAAAAAAATATTTTTAGACATGGTCTTGTTTGAGTTGCTTAGGGTCTCACTAGGTTGCTGAGATTGGCTTTGAACTCATGGTCCTCCTGCCTCAGCCTCCTGAGCTGCTGGGATTACAGGTGTGCACCCCCACGCCTGACCATAATTTTACCTTTGACCTTGAGTTTGTGAACGAAGTCTTAGGGGACAATGGAGCACGTCAAGAGAAGAGATGGGCAGTGTGCGTGCCCACTGGGTCCTGCTGCCCCACTTTGACACAACACTCAGGATGCCCCAGGAGCATAGGATGGGCCATGACACTCAGGACTCTGAGCCAGAACAGGTGGGCATGGGACCTTGTAGCCTGAGTGGGAAGCTGGCAGCCTCACGGGCTGTGCTTTCACTTTGAACCACAATTGTTTGGCGTGTGAGAAGATGGCAGCGGTGTTAGGAGAGCAGGATCGTCAGGAACCCTGTCGTATCCTTGCTGAAAATGATATCAGCAAGGGGAAGGGCGAGAACAGAGAGCTGCTTTTCTTTGCCTGCACCCGTGAGCCAAAGCAGAAAGAGCTGGTAGAAGGTGCACATTCCAAGAGGTGAAATAAAAACTGCGAAGTCTGTTTTTTTGAGCCTTTACGTGGATGTGAATTAAATATGGATGCATACCTGAACTACAAAATGCAAATTCTACCATTCTGGTGATTCAGCACACCAGTTAAATGCTTCTATTTATATCGAAAACTGGAATTGCAAAATATCAAGATAAATCCTAAAATGCAGACTAATACTTTAAACTTTTAATTTGTCTTTACTTAGAACTACACCTAATAGGAAGTTTAAAATATCACCACAAGTTGAGAGAGAGAAAAAAAGGTGGA